TCTGCGAAAGTCTTTGTGAATTTAGTGAAGTAAACTAAAGGAAGAAAAACTTTAGAATTTTTTTTTTTATTTTAAGAGAGTTTTTGCATGTGATATATGTATTTTTAATAAGTATATGCATATATCTGTGAAGACTTTCCTTTTCTTGTTTATGATTTTCTTCAAACATATATAGAAAATAAGTTCTATAAACTTATCCATCCAGAAAGCATTCTGTTCTTTCCTTTCCTCCTCTTTTTTTTGTATACTGTTTTTGCACTCATGAGCTAAAAAAAAATCTTTTGAAACTTTTTAGTTTATTTATTAAAAAAAAAAATCCCTATACTTTGTCTTCATTAATCCTTGTTTATTAATAATATTTATGGAAGAGCAGGGAAAAAAAGAAAAAAAAAAAGCATTAAATTCATCTGCCTTCTATCAATGCTTGGAAGTTAGAAGAAGAAAGTGAACTTGAAAATTTAGACAGTATCTTACCCTAGGCTAATTGTTTACCATTAGAAAGAGAGCTTGCATGCAGGAGGGAGTGTTATGTTTTGGACTTACTTCCTTGTAACTCGTAAATCTTGGCTGTGTAAATGTTCAGTCATTAATTAAAGCTTTCAAATTAATCTGTTTCCTGACTGGACTTGGCTGGTTTTGCATAGAGCAATGCTGTTGCCCAACTTCCCAGTTTAGGAGAGCTCTCAAATGTGTGATATGGAAGTACAATATTTATTGCGGAGAGTTAATGAACAGCACACACGGAGTGGGGGAAGGCATTTCGTTACTAACGTGCAGAAAGTAGAGTGGTAGTATCAAAATGGGTTTGTGTACTTTAATTACTTCCCTTACTTCAAACAATGGCAAAAAAATAGCTATTTTATATTGATAAATGTCCGTCACGAGCAGTATTTTTCTTTCCTTTCATTATTCGCGGATAATGTTCTGTCTTTGCAATTCAGCCAGTTTACTCGGGGTGAGATATAAATACAGCCAAAAAGTCTCTCTCAGGTGATGGAAAAAGATTTCAACTTTTGTTAGAAACTTTAAAAAAATTAATTGGTAATGTTATCACTCAGGTAGCATTATCATTGCATTCATTTGATCTGCTCTGCTCACATGGTAACATAGTGCTTATTTGGGTTTTGTGTCCTACTTGTGTTACCCATTCTTTACAAATGTTTGTATATGTATTTGTGTCTCCTTTCATACTTATGAAGCCATATAGGAGCTTTTACCATATATTTAATTATTTCTCTAATATGTAGGATTTTCAGAAATTCATATTTGGGTGATGATATGTACAATATACATCATACTATAAACATCCATGTTATCGTTAGCACTTAATTATACACAGGTCTGTTGGCACAGTGTTGAAAGCAAGTCTACTAGCTCTTCCTCTGAAGTCAACATCGCCTAACTCATGCAATGAATTTGCTGTTAAAGGTGAAGCAGCAAAAGCTGCAAATGAATCATCCAGCTAGGCGTGGTATTTTAAAACCAGGTAGTCCTGGAAATATACTACATTTTGTAGCTCTTTCAAACCAAAAATTTTTTCATTTTCTGGGTTCCAGTTGACTATGTCAACTTTCTTCAATTCTGCATGTGCAATGGATTTCACAAATAACTTGTAAGGTTTCTATTTCGAGCTGTCTGATTTGTATACAAAACCTAGAGAAGCAGGAATTAATCATGAACATAAACAAAAAAGATCTCTGATTAGGTCTTTAAAGATTTAGCGTTCAATCTATGAAAGTATGTTACTGCTCTTGTTTTCTTTGTCATGAAAGTGCAAAGAGATACCGCAGCACTAATCCATGTACCCTTTACCAAAGAACTAAAAAATAGTCTACAATGTGTGCTTACAAATCTGAAACAACTGTTACCTGCAATGAACATATTTTTCATTACTTTCATATATGTGTTGCACCAAGGAAGATACTTGTTTCTTAATGGCTAATTAGAAGAAGTTGGTCTGACCAAGTTTCAAAGTCTGAGGGAGTTTGAAATCTGAATTTAACTCTTCAGCTCAATTTCATCACTTTTATCACTTCAACCAAAGCCAGACTATAAATACCTTCTCATTTCTAGCCTAGTCAAAGTTTAGATTGTTACCCTACAGCATTTCAAAGATTTTCATGTGCATAAAAAAATTCCCTGTAACAAATGGAATTATTTAATGCACTTAAAATCAAATACATGTTTGAGCTTGCTAAATCCATGGATTATTTCTTTAATTCCTAAAGATTAAAATGTCTTCTACTTTAATGTGTATTATTAATTAGATAGCAGAAATAACAGAAGAGGTATCAAGTTTTTCTTTATTTTTTTAACTTTCAAGGTATGATGTATTTTTGCAGCCATATTCTATTGCTGTCGCTTACGTGCCAGTCATTTCCTAACAGTTCATTTCTGTCAAACCAACTGATGCATGAACTACCCAGTGCTGTTTTGTGCGATTAGATTTTGATATAGCAAAATGATTTTTCCATGACCAAGAAAACCTCTTGCATTTTAATGGGATCAAAGAGAAGGCATGTTCTTGGTTTCAGTTAGTCCCAAGCTAAGCCATTGTAAATGTTTCCAGGTTTTTCAATATTGCTTTTCACAGATTTCTAATATGAGACATGGCTATATGTGCCTGTGAGGAGCGGTAGCCGGATGCATCCTTCTTCTTTTAATTGGCACTTTGAAATTGAGTACAACTCAGTGTGGCCTCAGTGCTACTGTAGGCACGTTAAAGAACAGCCTGACTTTTAAAAACAAATCTGCCAGTCTTATCACGTCTTTTTGAAGCAGCAAACTCTTTTTTTTTTTTTTTTTCCATTGCCACTGTGAGGTTATTGTCATCCAATAAGTTCTTTCAAAAATAGCTCCATCTGTAGAAACTAGCTACAGAGATGCAGCATCAAAGGCACGCAGGCAGCGAGTGACCCCCCCGGGTCGGACAGGCAGTGGAAATCCAGGTAAGCCTGTCGTGCTTGGTAAAGTACCATGCAGAGCGTGATAGGAAGGCTTGCTAAATTATAAAACACAGCATTAAGAAACTGTGGTAATAAATCTCTCTTCTGCTAGTCTACATTTCATTGGAAACAATCCTGGACTTGCTGGGAGATAGGTTGGATTGTCTCATTGGTTTCTTCTTTCTTGTGAATTTGATAAATCATTTGACACATCCTATTTGGTAATAAGTAAACCATATTTCAAAGCCTGAAATGATGCCTGTGTGACATTTATAATTGAAATCCGTCGTTACATAAGACTCGGAAGGCATTCAGTGTTGTATTTGGTAGTATCTATGTGGCACCTGAGTAACAGAACAGATTATAATTTGCCTTATTTCTTGCCATATACTGAGGAGGACTGTTTTTGCAGTGTGCGGATTCAAAATCAGGAACTACTTTCAAAATACCTCTGGTGCATTATTACAAATTGTGTCTTTCGCAGGCCACGCATTTTTTGGGTACTGAGCTCCTGCGAGATGTTACCAGTAGGTTGCATCAAGCCACTACAGAATGGCTGGGGGGGGTGCTGGTTTCATTGCCATTCTGATACTGTACCATTGAAAGAGGGACTTGGAAAACACAGCAAGGAAGCTTAGAAAGTTGCTAAATTTAAAAAAAAAAAAAAAAAAAAAAAAGAAGGACGAAGAAGAAGAAGGAGAAAAGAAAAAATGAATGCAGCAGAAGTAATTCAACCTATTAAAAAAAATGCTTAGATCTGCTGGCTTGCCAAGAGTGACTGAAGAGGGTAAGTTAAAGTAGGTGGTGAGAGCCATGGCCAGTGACAGCTCCCTGGAGCACAGGACCTGCTCTGCTCAGCTCCCCGTCCTGGGGCTCCTCAGGCTTTTCCTAAAGAGCCAGAGCGGGGACCCGTGCAGTATCCTCTTGCCATCATTGCCCATGCAGTGGTTTCTCAAGGTGAACAAAACAACGTTACTGGTGTTAAAATGATAAACCTAGTCCAGTCCTAGCCCAGTCAGGATCTGCACAGAACAGGTTGTACCCTGCGAGTCGGAACAACGCTGATAACATTTGGCAGGAATAGCAAATACGCATTAATATTTGCATTATGATAACAGAGAGAGTCTATTTTGAGGTTTACCTTTGATACTAATAATTCATCCTTGGTTTTGAGATGATTCTTGAAAGAAAGTATCTCTTTCCTACAGTGAACGGTCTTTCTTGAAAGTCTCTCATTTTTAAAATAGAGAGCTTTTAGTCACTTTATTTTTACCATTTTAAATCCAGGAGTTTTATTGTACTAACGTTCAGCCTGCCAGGACTTTTTAGCACCAGATTTTTTTCATTTGAATATAGTGAGGGTTTTTTGTTGTTTGTTTCTCCTTAATTTATATGCAACATTTAAGGAAAGCTTAATTAACCCCAGCATGCAGGGAGAGGAAACAGTGCTCAGCAATTGAGAATATAATTAGCTACATTTATACAGAAGTGATTGTATTACCTAAATCCCCCCCCCCCCTTTCTTTTTTAATTTATTTTTGGATGAGTTTGGGGGCTAGGAAGGGAGGGTAGGCACAGGCTGTGTAAAAAAATTGGAGGGAGTAAAAAATGCTTCCATGGATCTGGAAAACAGAAATATAATGAGCTATCTCTGTTTCTCTGTAGAGCTGAAGTACTGATCTTATTCTTAAAACTGCTTGACAGAGTTTAAATTTCAGTTTAGGAGGTTTGCAGAGCTTGGAAAAGCCATGCAAGTTGAATTTTATTCTCAAGGTGTAAACATAGGACCGGGCTGATCCTGGATATGAAGGCCAGTCTTTTTACTGTTTTTTATTAAAATATTTTGTTACTTCTGCTGCAAATTAACATCGGTTTGAACATTTTCTCTCCTAAGTATTGTTCAGTCTTCTTCATTAAAAAAACATTTCCTCAATAATAATAGGTTCCATATGTAGATATACCAAGTATGTAAAATGATACATATTAATATAAGTAATCACACATGAAAATGTGGTTTTTTTGCTTTTCACCATGTAATGACTCTTCCCGCTCCAGCCTTCTGCCCCCAAAACAAGCAGAACAACAAGAAAACCCATTGAAAATAAATTTGCAGTTTTAAACAATTTTCCAGATACCACTTTTTCCAAGTTCAAATGGAGCTGGCAGAGGAGGCAGCCAGCCGGCGGAGATCGATCGCTGACTGTTGCAGGAACAGCTTGACTTTCTGTGCAGCGCGGTCGCTACCACGGGCTTGTGCGCGCCTGACAGCGAGTGAACTGAAAGGCCTCGCTTTAGGAAAGCTGTTCACCATGTGCTTCGCTTCAAAAATGAGGGTGAGTCCCTCCTCCTTCAGGATCCTTTATGCTGACAAGGAGGAGACTTACTCAGGTGCCTACAGCGGAGCGTTTGCTTGAGTGTTTTGCTGAACTGCAACGTTGTGGTGGGATGGAAAGGCTTTACGGTACTTTGCACACCATCTCAGAAACATATGGGGAAAGCATTTCTTAAAAAGAGGAAAAATAAAATCTCTTTCCTTTTTAGAGAGTTACAACAGTATTCCAACATCTGCCTGTAGAAATAATGCCCGACCTCCATTTAATAAAAAAAAAAAGAGCTACAAAAAGCCAACTTACCTCATGAAATCTCTGTATTTTTTCATCTTTTGTGTATGGTTTTAACAAAAGGAAGATTTCCATGTGTTCTGCTTAAGTCTTGTAACGTGATGCAAGCAGGCAGTTTGGCCGATGAGATGTTCTGCAAATATCCTGCAGCAGATGAGCTTGCCAGCTTCGGCGGGGTGGACGGGGTAGGGAGGGGAGGCAGGGGAGAGCTACGAGCATTCTGCACTCCGGACAGCTACATGTGCAACAACACTTAAAAGGCTATCGGAACCATTTCCCAAAGCAAAAGGGACACATCAGATTATTTTTTTTCCACCCAGAGGTTGATGGCAAAAAAAAAAAAATCCTAAATACGATGTGGTAGTACAGGACATAGCTGTCTCATTACTTAGAAAAAATGTGGTTATTAATTTTGCTTTTATAAATTTTGCTTTAGATTTTCTTCTGGTAAAAAATGATTTAGAAACACTAAATAGAATAATTTATTTAGTTTTATGTCATTGACTTAATTTTTTACATTAGAAATAGAATTCAGAATGTTTCAGCTTGAAAAGATTTAAAGTATTTCAATTCAAAATGACTTTGTCAAGATTTCCTTTCCATTGTGTTGCTAAGTGTAATGGGTGAGCTTGAATTCAACCCTTTGTTTATTTGGGTTTGGATTAAATTATATATTCTACTTGGGAAATATTCTATTCTCTGTTCAGCAGAAAGCTTTTACAATTCTGCTTTTGGATGAACCTAAAATTAGAGGGAGTTTGGTTTTCTGAAACAGGCAGAGAATAAAAAGGAATATTTTTATTTTTTTTTTGCACGTGTTGATAGGTGGCACTTTTACTTCAGCATCAGCATCCATTTTCAACTCTTTTTCTACTGCACTTCATCGTTCTTTTGTTAAGAAAACTGAGCAGACCAGGTAGCACTAATAGTCTGCAGGCTGCACTTTCACATGGACCAATGTGTTTGTGTTCTTACATTTATATTGACTCCACACTTGAAAGATAACGCTTTCTGTCTCAGGTGGAAATGGTAAAGTTGTAGGAAATAGGTGTTAGAAAGCCTATAGAGGAATATTTAGTTGATCTGTATCTTAAAACATATTATGTTTTGAAAATGTATTTAAATGATTGTGTGATTATACATAGTTGTGGGTGACTAATCTAGTCTATTGCTGCAGGTCATGGGAATAGTCATAAAAAGTGTTTATTCTGAACGTGAACCCGGATGCATGCTTTCCCAGCGTGTTTCCCATATGGTCTGTAAGTAAACAGTAAATCAGATAGAGAAGAACTGAGGAAAGAGAAGAAGTGGGTAAGTGGGGATTCTGCAGCACTGAAACTGCAGCCCTGCATGGTTTGAAGCTGTAACTTGTTTTCTCTCAGAAGCAAAGAAACAAAAGAATTAGTCTAAGTGGAACAAAGATGTTCTGCAGACCTAGGAACCCACTGAGGTACAGGCACCGACAAAAACCAGAATTAAAATCTTTATCAGCAAAGCAGTGATGGAAATGGAGAGAAAACTGATCGCCTCCAGAAATGGCGTGCCATTTGCTTACTTTGGCTTAGTGCTGCAGCAGAGGCTGGCGCTTCTCTGCAGACTTCAGCCTGCACACTCTTTTCCTGAAACCAAAGTGGGTTTTGGGAATTGCTGGTTCCATTTCGACAACTTGTCATTCCTGTCATTATTGACCTTCCCTGGTTGTACCTCGCAGGGCATATCTGCCAGAGTATCCCTGTCAGACATGGTTCTTGACTTGGTCCTCGCTGCTCACGTCAGGAAATCTGAACCAGGGAGGCAGGGACATTGCAGATGGTCTCTGGGGGGTATGGTTTGGGGTCTGAGCTGTGAGGACTGCAAAAATGCATTTTCTGTTGCAGCTCAAGAGCACACAAGAACTCCTGAGTTACAAACTTTGTGTACTGGATGCAGGTATGAGCAAGAGGGTAGGAGTTGTGCTTGGCAGGAGAAACCGTATTTTGATGTCACTTCAATATGCATGAAAAGCTTCAATCTCTACTCATTTGTTTGCTCCATGTTTATCTGTTTTACCTGACTTACCTTTAACTCCAGCTGAGGGCTCAGTCCCAAGGCTCTGCAGTGTTGTTCCTCAGTACTTGTGTAGCCTAAGCCATTTTTCTTTTAGCCACCATGGTAATTTCGGTCACTGAAAGGGACCATTTCATAGCTCTGGTATCTTAGGCTGGGATGTTTGCTCTTGGATGCAGCTCACACAGGCTTTTCGTGCCCTGCAATCCCTCTGATTTTCCTAACGTCCTTGCCTTCTTTCATGGGCTAAAGAAAGTATGCGCTTTCCGTGGGAAGTGATTGGGAGATTAGAGAGAAGCAGTTGGTTTCAGTCCAAAGGGTGGTGATATATATTAGCACAGTTTATAAGATAAAGCCAAATCTCTATTCTCTGTTAACTCGTGAGACTTCAGCCTAGGGCTAAGCGCAGCCACAGACGAATGCTCGCTCTTGTACTTCTAAGGGCACGTCAATGTGAGGAAGTTATCTTGGAATGAGATAGGGTGTGAATGTAAATGCAGTAGCTGTTCCAGCATAACATCCTGTGGAGACAAGGTCTTGGTGAAGTGACTAAAAGCAATGGAATGACTTCAGTGGAAGCTGAGGACACCGAGCCCCCC